GAGTAGAGTAGAGTAGAGTAGAGTAGAGTAGAGTAGAGTAGAGTAGAGTAGAGTAGAGTAGAGTAGAATTCTTTATTGACCAACTGTGAATGGACACACAAGGAATTTGTCTTTGGTGCATACGTAACAGCAACAGGTAATAGGAAGGATGAGAAGAATAATTGTAATGCAGTCTTAATAAATAGTTTGACAGTGTTGTGGGAATTAGTTGTTCAGCAGAGTGATGACATTCGGGGAAAAATTGTCCTTGTGTCTAGGGCACAAAAAATTAAAAAGAAAAACAGCATTTCTATTAATAGTATAGCACTATTAAACTGAAATGATTTTTAACCTAAGTCACCATATATTTTGTCCATTGCTAATGTTTCACATAAACGTATATCTTATTTCAGATATTAGAAGACACTGTATTTTTATTGACAATGAGAGATGGGACTTTCCCAAAGATGGTTTTCAGTTCTATCCTTTTAGCAAGTTCTGGTATTCAATATTTATAATTACAGTTGGTCACATAGTCTGCCAAATGTTTAGACTAGTTTCAGGGGTGGGTTCTAACCAGCGCTGCCAATTCACTAGTTTACATGCTTCGCATGCATATGCTGGATGCGTTCTCCGCATGCATGCACATTTCAATTGAAATTGTTCTACACATGTGCAGAACTAAAAACAAGATGGCGGAGCCGACGACACCAACTGGGGAACCGGTTCGGGGGCGTGGCAGGTCTTGGTCGCTGCCTGTTCCAGCAACCCAGGCTGCCATACCACTACCAGTTCGGCTGAATGGTCCAAACTAGTAGGAACCCACCACTGACTAGTTTTGGCATTTTGTGCATCTATCAAATACTTCCCAAGAATCTGAGGCAAATGTTTAATTATGTTAAAGGTATTATCACAGGATTCAAATTATTACAGGTAAAGCTGCTTTATGCAATTGATTGATGATGATTTTGTCAATGTTCATAGTGTTCAAGTGGCACTCCATATGTTTGGGATGGCAGCAAAGGCATCTATTACTATTGGTACTATTGGAAAGCATATTACTATCTATGCTTTCTTTTGCCACAGTCATTCTACATTGCACATCTTTATATTTTGCGTTTTTCTTCAGTTTTTTCCCTCTGGTATTGGAATGTCTATTATCTACTATCCAGACTCTTTTATCTATCTCAGGGGTGTCAAACTCAACTTCATTGAAGGCCACATGAAGGTTGTGCTTGATCTCAGGGGGCTGGGATGGGCATGGCCATCTCAACGTCATTTGTGTCAGGGGTGCCTATGGTGGCCCAAGTGCTCTACCAGCAAAAACTGATACCTGAGTTCCGTTTTCATCTAGGACAGCCTCCTGCAATCTCTGCCAGTGAAAACAGAGTTCAGCAAAACTGCACATGGCCCTCACGGGCTCCAGCGGGGGCGGGGAGATGAATAGGTGAGGCAGACAACTATTCATCTTCTGGCTGGCAGGCTTGCTAACCTGCAAGAGAAACTTTTTGCCGGGGCTGCCAGCATTCCTAATAAAGGAATCTTTTGAGTTCACATCAGAGGTTTGTCATGTTTGGGGAGCTGGGTCAGAACAAGTATACAGAATACTACTGGACCTCTAGAGCCAGTTTATGCAATATTTCTTTGATTTTCATATCTTAAAACTTTGTGATATTTGTGATTACTATCATTATTTTATCAATGTACTTTCTTTTCTATTTCTTTTCTAGTATGTTCACATGAATATATGAACGCCTCTGGTGTGCTAACATCACCAAACTATCCAAATAACTATCCAAACAAAATGGTATGCATATACAAGATCCATGTGGCAAACAACAAACAAATTGCTTTGCATTTCACCAATTTCTCTTTGGAGGATGACGCCATGTGTCTGCATGATTATCTTGAAATTAGGCAAGTTGATTTCCATTTGACCATATTTATACCTCTGAACAGTTAATCACATCACTTCCTGGAATTGTAAGGCATCAAATCAATCAATCAAAATAGAGAATAGAAAGTACCTCGAAGGTCTTCTACTACTACTTTCTGCTCTAATAGAAGACCTGATACCATTTTAGATAGGTGGCTGTCCAGTCTTATTTTAAAAAAAAACATTGCACAGTACTGTAATAGTATTTGAAACTGCTTTATGCTCTCAATTGTTTTTACTCTGTATCCATTGCAACCTGGAACTATCTTCTGGTTCTCTAGAACAGGCATATAAAAGAATTTAAATAAGGAAGGGATTAGGAGCATTCTACCTCAAAGGAATACATAAGATCAAAATACCACAAATTTGTGAAGCCTAACTGATTTCTTAAAAAAAAAAAAGCCAACCCATGGAAGATGTAGAATTTGCATTTACCATATGTTTTGGTATATAAGATGCACCCTCCCCCCAAAAAAATGGGTGGAAATGTTTGTGCATCTTACAGAGCAAAAGTTGCTGAACCCACCAGCCTCTGCCTCCCAGGAATTTGCCTCCTTGCAGCAAACAACCTGGTCAGCTTCAGCACAGCCTGATTTAGCACAAACAGCTGATTGGCAGTTGGATTGGCCTCCTGGAATATCGCCTATCAGCTGTTCCAGGCTGTGGGGATCGCCACTGCCCATTGCCGCCCATCACTGCCTCCACCTATCGCTGCCTCTGCATGCTCCATTTTTGGCCTCCACGTGTCCTATTTTTGGCCTCTGTGTGCCCTATTTTCCACCTGTTCCAGGTGGGATAGGTGGCGGCGGCAATCCCCGCCTCCTGGAACTGGCCAAAAATGGACCTTGCAGAGTCCAAAAATGGAACATATGGAGGTGTCGATAGATGGCAGCAGTGATGGGCGGTGGCGATGGGCGATGGAAGTCCCTGCAGCCTGGAACAGAACAGCTGATATGCGGTATTCCGGGAGGCCAATCCAAACGCCAATTACCTGCTCATGCTAAATCAGACTGTGCTGAAGCTGACCATGCTCTTTGTTGTTTGCTGCAAGGAGTCAAATTGCTGGGAGGCAGAGGCAGATATTTTTCCTTGTTTTCCTCTCAAAAGCCTAGGTTCGTCTTATACTCCGGAGCGTCTTATAGTCCAAAAAATACAGTAATTGTTTTTATGCACAAAGATATTCCCTACTGTATTTAGTCTTTTAAAAATCCAGTGTATTAGTGTTTGTATAGCAGTCTTCCTTTCCTCAATTGTCTGTATAGTACTATCACATTTCATGCTACATTGTGTAACTGCCCTTGCTAAGAGATAAATAGATAATAAATTCTATTGTACAACAGACTTCTTATTCCCATCCCTAACAATCAGACAATATTTTCTATTCCTCTTCTTTCTGCATTGATAGATCAATGCCCCCCTTCTCGAATGGTATGGTTGTTGTGTGTTTTAAATTTTGTATTGTTATGTCTTGTCTTTTTATCCCCCTGTCTGTACCCCCTTCCCTGATTGAATTGTGAGCCGCCCTGAGTCCCCTTCGGGGAAAAGGGCAGCATATAAATGAAATAAATCCAATCCAAATCCAATCCAACTATTTTTGCTGACACAGATTTCAGCAAAAACTCAGATTTCTGTGAGAATGATGGAGGGCGTGAGTGAGTGAGTGAGTGAGTGAGTGAGTGAGTGAGTGAGTGAGTGTTGCCTTTTTGGGGGAGGGCAAAATTTCAGAAGTGATTTGGTATTGCCTCCTTAGAGGCCACTGTAAGGAGGCAATACCAAATCACTTAAAATCATCCTAATAACAGAAAATTTCATAAATCAGTTAAGCATGTTTTTCCCATATAAAAATTAAGAATTATATTATCAGAATATTAAAATATTTGATTATAATAATAAAATATAATATAAACTAAACTTAAATAAAATGTGAATACAAAGAAAGAAGAAAAGTGCAAGAAAAAAGAGAAAGAAAAGAAAGAGAAAAGTAAAGATGTAATAAAGGGAAAAGAAATGTATAAAAAGTAAATTCTAACTTTCCTCATAACTATAAAGACGTTAGTGGCTTTCTATCCCTTCCATCCCTTTATTTCTTCATCCCATATTTCATCTCTTATTTACAGTATAAACAAATTCATAAAACATCATCTTTTCAGGCCTGATGTCAGCAGAAATTCCACAGAAGCTTGGCAGAATAATACATCTTTTTAAAATCTTGGTCAAATAAATCAACTTGATATTCCTTCCTTTTACTTTTAAACATTTTTAAAATGGTTGTGTAAGCAACTTTTTTTTTTGTTTTACTCAATCAGTGTATAGAACTGCATCTATGTAATAGAATGAATATTCCTTTGAATATGTTCAGATTCCTTCTTTAATCTAGTGCCTTAATGTTTCTAATTTGGTGCCCTTGTGTGTAAAATCACACTTGGCCAAATAAAGTATTCTATTCCAAATAGTTGGCTGGAGTTTATAGAAATGGTATTTCATAAAATTAGAGGTCAAAGAAGACTTTTATTCTATTAAATTAGCTATATTTAGTGAGAAATTAATCCTTTATTTTTAGTGGAATGTTTCTAGTACTACAGTACAAATTGCTTTAATATTTTTCTGCTTTTATTTAATTGTCTTTAAATGTAAAAGTGTTTAAAAAGAATTTTCTTATTGCTAAGTATTTAGTTGACACTTTGTAAGTATAATCTTATTGGAGATTCAGGTTTAATTATTTTTCCTTTTTTGTATATTGATTTTTGAATAAAGAAATGGAGCTTTTGAAACATCTCCTTTGCTTGGGAAGTATTGTGGCTCCTCGTTGCCTCCTGTTACTATTTCCCATAGTAATAATCTGTGGATAAAGTTTGTGAGTGATATATATTCAACAAGTACTGGCTTCTCAGCTTATTGGGATGGAACATCAACAGGTAAAATCAAAATATAAAATGTATCAGGTTATTCTCTAGCAAGTACAAAAAGAAGATAAGATAATTGATTTCTTTCATTTTCCTTGGCCATTTTCCTTGATTTCTTTCTCTTTTTTATCATTATCCCCATCTCCCCCTTTAACTCTTAAACCTGGCCTATTCAGATCTATGGGAGAAGCCATAGTCTTCCTGATATGGAAGAACCTGATGTGGAAAATTTTCATAAGTAGACTCAAAATGATAGAATACTATTCTAAGAGAGATTCAGCAGTGTATGACCCTATACAGGTTAAAAATTGTGACAAAAATTACGGCAGAAGAAAATATTTCATTCCTGGTTTGCATTTTTAAATTTCTCTCTTTGCATAATGTCATTGGTCAGTTGCTGTACACACATCTTTAAAGGGGTGTTGCGGGCAGGCGCTGCGTGTGTGCATGCGTGTGCTGTGCAGGTTCATGTGATGGATACTTGGCCCCGTTGTACCGTACTGGTTGCAACGGGATCCAGAACACACTACTGGTTTCTTGGTTCAGTGAGAGTGGCTTATGTATACGTACAGAAACCCAAGTTTATCAAGCAGGATACCCATCAAAGCAGCCTGGCCTTGACTTGAGATTCTTTAGAGACTAAATGATTATTCTCAGTGAGACAAAGCATTTTAATGAAATAGGCTATGGGTATCTGGACTCTCTTATTATATGCTTGATAATTTATGGCTTTGGTCTACCCCAATCAGTTGGATGGTATATAAATGAACAGATAATAATTTATGCCTAATTTTTTTATGGAAAGGTTTCATAAATAAAAGAGCTACACAATTGACAGGCAGAAGATTAGACATATTTGCATTCTTACATTTCTCTCTATAAATGTCTATATGGACATTTAAGAAAAATTACGTATATTAACTTTTAGTTGGAAATTTCATTTCTCTAATTTCAGAAGTGGATGATGACAAGAAATTGTCAACATACTGAAAGTTATAAGAAGTATGGGTTTAACCTAAAAAGTAATTATTACTAATTCCAAACTATGCTAAAAGTAAATAGGCACTACATAGTACTAGCAAAAAGAAAATAATATAGAATTGGTCAATTGTTATTGAATTGAATTTTCTACTTATTTTCAGGTTGTGGTGGAAACCTTACAACTTTTTCTGGAACATTCATGTCTCCCAATTACCCTATGCCCTATTACCAAGATGTGGAATGTTATTGGCTGCTGAAGTCAAGTCATGGAAATGTGTTTGAAATCTATTTTGATCAATTCCATCTAGAGTCGCATCAATCCTGTAACTCTGATTATCTTGCTGTAAGTCTAATTTTCTCTGAGTAAGGATGATAATAGCCAACAATAATGGCTGAAAGACCAATTATTTATGCAATATAAGTTTTCCACTGCGGAAGTAATCTCAGATCTATATTTCTATAAGAAAAAGAGTACTACCCACATCTGCCATGGAGAACTACAGAAGAAATCAAGATCTATTTTGGGCACTCTGTAACTCGCTCACATACTATATATTGCCATTTTCAGTGTCCTGTAGTCATGTGAACATAATTTATGATGTTTTTGCATAATTTCCAGTTTTCAGTAAAAGCCATCCAGTAGCAAACAATGTATTTTCTTAATGAAGGTCATAAAATCAGGCACAGTTGCATGGGTGACCACTTTACAACTTACGATCAAAATTCTGAGCTCAGCAATGATCATTAGTCTGGGACTACCTCTATATCAGTTCAACATCATTTCAATCTTGCTAGAAAAAAATATATATAAAAATTAAATTCCTTTCAATTATTTCCAAGATGTTAGATTTATGAATTGCTAAACTCTTGGGAAGAGGGGATTATAAAAATGCCTACAACCTTCTCAGCTTGAACTCTTTGATTGCTATCAGTGATGGACTGCCAATAATGTAAGGTTTCCTGCAGAGTAGAAAAATGCTGTCTCTTCTTTTGGCATGGGGAGAATCTGCTCTCTTATCAAAACTGTCCTTTAACCTTTTTTCCTAGAATGGGGGTCAAGATTTTCCTTGGAACAAGGAAGTGATACATGGCATATATTATGTATCATGTAGAGCTATTCTGGCACAGTGGTTAAAATGCAGTATTGCAGGCTAACTCTGCTCACACTGCTAGGAGTTCAATTACTTCGATCTTGACCGGCTCATCTAGCCCATTCATGATTAGGCAACATTTAAGAACACTAATTGCTTGCTGATAACAGCCTAGGTCATATTTCCAAGAAAGCTACATGAACATATCTATAAAATTACCAGAAGCAGACTTTAATCCTCTCAAAAATATTGTTTGTTTGCTATATATTAATATTTTTTTAAAAAATATTTATATATCCCAATAACCACAGGTGTATGATGGCAACAGTAACAACAGTAACATGTTAGGCAAGTTTTGGGGTAATAAGATCCTGCCCACAATCCGTTCTACTGGCAATAATATGTATATAAATCTAAGGACAGGCCCCTCTTTAAATGGAAGAGGTTTCCTTGCTCATTTTAAACAAGGTAAGTTGAAATATTTTAATTAAGTCCTACCAGCTCAAATACATTTGCAGAATCTTTGAATGAACATATAGTACCTTTTTTAAAGTGTGGATGTTACATTTAGGATAACAGGAAATTGTAATTTTGAATTGAAAAGGAGACCTGACTGCTCTAATTATTGTCCTAAAATTGAGGACAATGTAGGTTTTTTTTTAAAAAATTGCACTATCTTTGTAAAAATGTATGTTTGTTTGTGTGTGGGTGTGCATGCATGTACATGTGTGTTCAAATTAGCCTTGATTCCTGACAATTTGGCAGAAGTAGTTTGCAACTGCTTTTTACCCAGATTTAGAGAATCAGTGGCCCAAAGGCCCTCAAATAGGTTATATGCCTAAGGCAGGGACTAGAATTTAATAGTGCCTTTAACTACTACTTCAGACTCTCCCTCTATCACATTAAAATGGTTAAAACAGGAGATACAATGATTTACTAATTCTGCTGTACCTGAAAAAAAACAATGTCTAAATTATCCAGAATTATCCTGGTGATATCACCTTATGTATGGCTGTTCTTTTATTTTCAACTACCTATTATTTCAGGATATTTATTCAAATCACATAGTCCCTTGCTATTTATCAGAAAACCCTGCAAACAGCCTAAAGCTATAACATCATTTCAAGTAGTCTAGATATTACATTCACGACTTTGTCTTTCCAATATAACATTTACTGAGAGCATGGTAGATGAAAAATAATTCGTTGGAGAAGATCAATGGGTGGGATTCTTACCAAAAAATGTTCCTGGTCCTTTTTTGAAAGTCATTCTTACATTAAAGGTTATTTGCCTTCTTAAGGTTTATTTCGGGCTTTAGATTTCTGTACTTTATTTCAAAATTAAAATATGTATCCCTTTTTGTAAGTTCATCATATCAAACACCTAACTACTGATTGAACTTACTGATACCAACAGATTCTTTACATTCTTAAAATAGAAATAATATAGAAAACATATATTTTTAATTTTTTTTTCTTCCAAGTTTGCCAGGGAATAGTAATTGTCAACCATTCCCAAGGCATTTTGGAGAGTTTGGAATACCCTAACAACTACCCTCCAGGTTTATATTGCAACTGGACCATCCAAACTACAACTGGTAACACCCTGAACTACAGTTTCCAAGCATTTAGCACGAAAGGAGGTGACAGGTGTGAACGTGACCATTTAAAGGTATGAAACGCAAAGGTTACCCTATATTTTGAAATATAGTATTAAATATATAACGATGCGGTGGCTTAGTGGCTAAGATGCTGAGCTTGTCAATCAGAAGGTCAGCAGTTCGCCGTTTCGAATGCCTAGCACCACATAACAGAATGAGCTCCCATTACTTGTCCCAGCTTCTGCAAACCTAGCAGTTTGAAAGCATGTAAAAATTCAAGTAGAAAAATAGGGACCACCTTTGGTGGGAAAATAACAGCATTCTGTGTACCTTTGGCATTTAGTCATGCCAGCTACATGACCACGGAGACGTCTTCGGACAGTGCTGGCTCTTCGGCTTTTAAAAGGAGATGAGCACCACCCCCTAGAGTTGGGAATGACGAGCATGTGCGAGGGGAACCTTTACTTTTACTTTTATTAAATATATCACTCCTAATAGAGGAAATGTCTGTAACACTGCTTTCTGTTCCTTCCAATCCTGAAGACATTGCTCTTTCATTATCTGTTCTAATCAGATGATAATTATTCCATAACTTCTAGTTTCCCCGCTTATAGGAGTTTGAAGCATCAGGAAGAGAGTGTGACATTCAATCATACTCAGTGGCAATAATAATTCCATAATTCCATAATTGTTGAAACAACAGCATTCTTATTAAATGTTAACCCAGACCAGAAACATTCTGCAACAAATCTTCCTTAGACCTTAAATTTCCAAAGCCCACATCTGCTTGTATATCTTTAATTCTTCATTCTCTATAATTTATGTCTAGTTAAGTTCCTTAAAGATTAGGAACAACCAGACTAGTATACCATTTAATATTAAAATGTACTGTTTTTCATAATATTTGAAAATACTTGAATCACTGAGCTATTATAGGTCTCAGTTTATTGTGTATCAGGGGTATCAAACTTTATTTCATTTAGGGACATATCAGGGTTGTTTGACCTTGGGGGCTGGGGCTGTGTGGTCAGGGGATGTGTAGCCATTGGTATTGCCAGCTCAACGTCACTCATCTAGGCCCCAATTTCAGCCATGACAGCCTCCTGCAGCCCTCTGCCAGCAAAAATGGAGCTTTGGGGGGAGCAGCCTCCTGGGCTCTGTTTTTGGCCGTGATGGCCAGCTGCAACCCACGTATGGCCTCCCTGAGCTTCCATTTTTTCTAGCAGAGAGTGCAGAAGATTGTTCCAGCTGAAAACGGAGCCTAGGCATGCCACTCATAGCCCTCCGTTTTTGGTGCCCCACAGGCCAGATCTAAGCACCCTGTGGGCTGCATCTGGTCTGCGGGCCTTGGGTTTGACACCCCTATTGTACATATTTTTGCAACTTTTTCCTAAGCCAAAAATGAACACTTTTTAGTTTGATGGGTATTATATGCAAAATAAAAGCTCACCTTTTATTTGGTTTAGGGCTTTTTTTAGAAGTAGCTACTACTTTTTATTTAATTATCCTGATAAAAGTCAATATGCATCCAGTGTTTAACATTTTTTGCCAAATTTTGATGATAGAATGTCTCCAAATATTACAAAAAAATGGCCCTGGGAGAAGCCTATAGTTTATAAAGTACTAACTGCTCACGATTTTCTCTTGTTAAAAAAAAAAAAAAAGCTGTTAATCTCTATCTCAATTGTGACTTGTTATAATATGGAACAGAAAAGGCAAAGTTACCTGAAATTAATTTTATCACTATTCTTCTACAAATATTATTTTAAAATATATTTTCAAAAGCTTTTTTTTAAAAACGAGAAGTTTGATAATAAAAATTGACTAGTAAAAGGATAATTACAGATTAAAACTGCATTGGCTCCCTATAAATTGAAGCATACTTCAGAAGGTCTGGTTTTTCCTATAAGGGCCTTTTATTGGACATACAACACCCCACCTCTTCTCTTATGCAGCATTAGCTTATGCATCTGATCCTTAAATAGTTAAGAAATTTAGCATCAGGCCATCTGAAGCAGAAGTAAAACCACAGTAGTAATCTACAGGATGCAAGAAGAAATGCCCTCTAATTATAATAAGCCTCAAATGACTAACATACTGTTTTTCCATGGTGCCACCAAAGAGATGGGGGAGGGGTTTCAGACAACTAAATCCCAAAATGAATGACTAATGGCTTATTTTTAGTTGTACGTGTTTCTCAGCTCACATACCCTACCATGTCACTGCAACGTGCCTTTTTCCTCTACTGCAAGAGAACAACTACAGTCCTCTGCCACTGTAAATTGTGTTGCTCGATCTTAGAAAGGGGAAATTTGGTCTCAGATGTATAAATCCCATCTGATGGTCAGAAATCATGGGAACTATTGCTACAATATCTAGAATGATCCAAGTTGTTTATTCCCCAGTTGCCACAACTCCTTTTTTTTTTTTTTTAATGTACACGTTTGACTCATGAAGTGAGTTCTTATCAAAGGAGAAACAACAATGTTAACCATGTTTACTGATTAGGAATTGTGGGGAAAGTTTTCATATGCTTTCCCAAATAGTCCCAATGCAAGGAGAGGTAATGAGAAGTAAAGGGACATCTAATAAATAACTGGCATGCTTCTGAATGATTATGTATCTTTATGAATAAATGGATGGATGGCTATGAATGATAATCAAAGGAGGAATATGCGTAGAGCCGAGGTGGAGCAGTGGTTAAATGCAGCACTGCAGGCTACTTCAGCTGACTGCAGTTCTGCAGTTCGGCTGTTCAAATCTCACTGGCTCAGGGTTGACTCAGCCTTCCATCCTTCCGAGGTGGGTAAAATGAGGACCCGGATTGTT